GTTCTGGGGGAGGGGGGAAGCTCGGGCTTCCCCCGCCCCAGCCCCACGCCTGGTGGTGGGGGAATAATTTTTTTCCCCTTTATTCCCCCCCCCCCCCGCCAATTTTTCCCACGGCACACCAGGCAACGTATCGCGGCACACTAGTGTGCCGCGGAACACCGGTTGGGAAACACTGCCTTATACTCTTAAAACCCACCCTTAATCTTTCTCTCTCTTATCTCAGTGCTGTGATGCTTAGTGCTAAGATCAGGGATAAAATATCCTTCTAGCTGTCTTTCAGACAGCAGCCAGAGGGATCTTTTATCTCAGCACTGAGTACCACAGTGCTGAGATAACTCCCACCAGGACATAAAAGACCCATTTAGCTGCTCTTTAGAAAGGATGTCTGAAGAGTAGTCAGAAAGATCTCTCATGTCCATTCTCACTGCTAAGCACCACAGTGCTGAGACCAGAGATAAGCCCTCTGCCTGTTCTTTTAAACAACAACAACCATTCATTCATTGGAGGGAAGGTGAGAGAAGACGCTGCCTTTTATCTCCATCTCAGTGCTGTGGTGTATTGAGAGCAGATCCTCTCTAAAAAAAGAAGACTTGTGTGTTTTACCTGATCCCTCTGGCTGCCCTTTAGAGATCACACTCTATGGAACAGAGAGCTTTATCACTAAATCAGACCAGGAGATAGAGCTGTGGGTGTTCGCAGGCCACAACCAGCAGTTTGCCAGGCTGGATTTGGCCTGCAGGATACCACCCTGGCTGTGAAGCAAGACCATGCGGTGAACTGCAAGGAGCAAAGAAGAAGAAGAAGAAGAGTTTGCATTTGATATCCCGCTTTATCACTACCCAAAGGAGTTTCAAAGCAGCTAACATTCTCATTTCCCTTCCTCCCCCACAAGAAACACTCTGTGAGGTGAGTGGGGCTGAGAGACTTCAAAGAAGTGCGACTAGCCCAGCAGCTGCATGTGGAGGAGCAGAGACGCGAACCCGGTTCACCAGATTACGAATCTACTGCTCTTAACCACTCTTAACCGCTCTTAACCACTACACCAGTGTTTCCCAACCGGTGTTCCGCGGCACACCAGTGTGCCGTGAGACCTTGCCTGGTGTGCCGTGGGAGGGAGGCGGGAGAGGCGGGGCGGCGCGGCGCCCGAGATAGCTTCTCCCCACCGCCCCTTGCTTCAAAAGAGGTCCGGGGACAGCGGGAAGCGCTTCGCGCTGCCCCCGGACCTCTTTTGAAGCAAGGGGCTGCGGGGAGATCGCTTCTCCCGGTGCTCCGAAGCGGGGCGGGGGGCGGGAACCTGCAGCGCGGGGCGCCCTTTGGAGTACGCCCCGTGCTTCGCGCAGCTGTCCGCAAGCCTTGGGCGCCTGGGGGAACTCCCCCCCCGGCGCGCAAGGCTTGCGGGCGGCAGCCTGCAGCGCGGAGCGCGGGGCGCCCTTTGGAAGACGCCCCGTGCTTCGCGCAGCTGTCCGCAAGCCTTGGGCGCCTGGGGGAACTCCCCCCCCGGCGCGCAAGGCTTGCGGGCGGCAGCCTGCAGCGCGGAGCGCGGGGCGCCCTTTGGAGGACGCCCCGTGCTTCGCGCAGCTGTCCGCAAGCCTTGGGCGCCTGGGGGAACTCCCCCCCCCGGCACGCAAGGCTTGCGGGCGGCAGCCTGCAGCGCGGAGCGCGGGGCGCCCTTTGGAGGACGCCCCGTGCTTCGCGCAGCTGTCCGCAAGCCTTGGGCGCCTGGGGGAACTCCCCCCCGGCGCGCAAGGCTTGCGGCGGCAGCCTGCAGCGCGGAGCGCGGGGCGTCCTTCGGAGGACGCCCCGTTCTTCGCACAGCTGTCCGCAAGCCTTGCGCGCCCAGGGGAACTCCCCCCCGCGTGCACGGCTTGCGGGCGGCAGCCAGCAGCGCGGAGCACGGGGCGCCCTCCGTAGGAGGCTGCGGAGGGTGGCGCGGAGCTGCCCGCGCTCCAGGGCTTCTTGCAGCTCCGCGCCACCCCCGGATCCCGGTGCGAAGCCGCGCGGGGCTGCGGAGGGTGGCACGGAGCTGCCTGCGCTCCAGGGCTTCTTGCAGCTCCGCGCCACGCCCCCCATCCCGGCGCGAAGCCGCGCGGGGCTGCGGAGGGTGGTGCGAAGCTGCCTGCGCTCCAGGGCTTCTTGCAGCTCCGCGCCACCCCCCGGATCCCAGCGCGAAGCCGCACGGGGCTCTGGAGGGTAGTGCAGAGCTGCCTGCATCCCGAAGCCTGGTGCGCGCTGAAGAGTGCCCCCGGGCTTCACGCACCTCTCCGCAAGCCTGGGGAGACCAGTGTGGCTCCCTAGGCTTGCGGATATCAGGCTGTTCTGGGGGCTGGGGTCGGGGGAAGCTTGGGTTTCCCCCGCGCCTGCCCCGTGCCTGGGGAGGGGAAATTTTTTTTTCTTTATTCTCCCCCCAAAAAATTAGGTGCGTCTTATGGGGCGGTGCGTCCTATGGGGCGAAAAATATGGTAGTCAATATAGGCACAGAGTTAAATTTTTTAATATTTTCTAATGGTGGTGTGCCTCGAGATTTTTTTCATGAAACAAGTGTGCCTTTGCCCAAAAAAGGTTGGGAAACACTGCACTACACCACACTGGCTCTCAAACACAATACAAACAAATGGAAGGAGCACTGCTCTAAATCTTTGCTGAAGCTGTGCCAAAATGCAAAGCACAGCCCCGCCTCCTTCAACACTGTACATTTTATTAATGGGTCTTGGCTGCAAATGCGTGGAAAGTAAGAACATTTTTCTTAAGAAACTGTGCAAGCTTTTCATCTTCCTCTGCAGTACACAGCATGGGTAGCTTGAAGATATGAATGACTGAAGCTGCCTTATGATAAATGGGACTATTGACCCACCCCTAAATTAGACTCCATTCTAACTGGCCTCAGCTTTCCAAGGTCATTAAAAAGGATGGCATCCTTTATGGCAGGAATGGGGGAGGGGCAAAGTTCTTAACCCGAGGTACTATTTCTGGGTTAGCGGAGTCTGTAACCTGAAGCATCTGTAACCTGAAGCGTCTGTAACCCGAGATACCACTGTATATTGTTTTGCTCAGAGAATCATAGATTTGGAAAGGACCTTAAGGATCATCTAGTCCAGTGTTTCCCAACCTTGTGCCTCCAGCTGTTTTTGAACTACAACCATCATCCCTGACTAGCAAGACCAGTGGCAAGGGATGATGGGAATTGTAGTCCAAAAACAGCTGGAGGCACAAGGTTGGGAAACACTGAATTCTAGTCCAACCCCCTACAATGCAGGAATATGCAGTTGTCCCATAAGGGGCTTGAACCTTCAACCTTGGTGTTAACCACACTCTAACCATCTTATTCCTATTTGAAGCATCCTTTAAAGCAGCTGTAGTGTGACTCTTCATGCACTTCCTGAGGTTCAGCTGGAGAAATGCTTAGATGAGAGATACATGCTTGCGCTTTTGCCATCATAAGGACTAGATACTTTCTTTTTTTAAAAAAAACAGAAAGCTGTGATTCTCGAGAATATCACAATTTTGGGGAAGCTTTCTGGTGAAACCACTTAGATAAATCAATCCAGAAGAATAGGGATTTGAAATCAAGCCTGAATCAATGTGGCACTTAGGAAAGCTGCTAGGTTCTTTCTCTGTTTTAATTTTTCAAAGGTTGGTTTAAAATAGCTTTGTTTTCTCCCAGCGCTAGACTGTCTGAGGATGGGTAATTCCGTCTCAGTACAGTGATATACTTAGAAGCCCTTCAGTTTCCTTCTCATCATGCATTCCTATGACTATGTGATGAATACAAATAATAGAAAACTTTCCTTCTAGCATAGGGCACATGTTAGAGCACTGGCTGCTATTTTTAGCATAGCTGCTTCTTCTTCTTCTTTTTTGAACGAGTGGTGTGCCAACACTATGGCAAATAGGATGCTACTGCATCTTCTTAGATTCTGCTTATTTTAATGCCAATCACTCCCAACATTTTTTTATTGTTATTCAGCTTGTTAAGCAGCTCTCTGGTTCATAATTATCTGATTCCCCTTCTTTATTCTTCCTTTACTGTTCATAATAGGTTTCAAAATGCCATTGTAATAACAAAATGGTAAGGATCACATTGTTCAGCCCAGAAGATTTTATGCCATTTAATAAATGGCAACGGTGTCCTTAATTGGCTAAAATGTTGCTATTTAAAACAGTGCTCTGTTAAACACTGTGTGCCTTGCTCTGTATAAGACTTTCCTCTACGTTTTCTCAAATAGACTTGAAACAGGAGAGAAAAGAGAATTGACTCCTTGCTTATTGGCTGTCAGTTGTTAGGGCTGTATGAATAACGTGAGGAGGGGGAGAATATGAATTACTGCAGTATTTAACAACACACACCTCTGGCAAACACAGCTGACATTCTCCTTGAGTAGGGAAAAACCGTATTTCCAGGACGTTTTAATGCCAACCAGTCTTTTTTATAATTCCCACTTAGCAATACACGAAGTGCGCCCATCTTTTCTACTATGTAAGAACCCCTGTTTTACATTACACCCCCTCACCCGCTCTGTCCCGTTGCTATTCTGGGTAGTGGTCAGAAAGCGGGAGGGGTAGCCTCTTTTCTAAGTTTCAGCAATGAAATCCCATTTGCCTTCGGAAATCAGGGGGGAACTGATATTCAAGAGGAAATGCCCCCAATATTGTCTCCGATTTTGGGAAGTAGATGAGGTTGCTTTCCAAAAGGAGGAGAGAGAAAAAGTCCGCCTTTCTCATATATTTCCGAGTCCGAAGAGGAGGGGGAGATGTAGAACGAGGCAGTCTTTTCTTGTCCTCCCCCTGCTGTTTTCCTCCTCTCCTCCCTCCCGTCCTCTGTGAGGCGAATGCACGTGCTGCTCTGGGGGATTCGGGTCCCGAGGTACCTCCCTCCCACCCCCCATGCTGAGCAAATAACTGTACGAGGAGCTTTTAATAGCACAGCCTGATCAGAACTGACTGCCGCTCTCCTCGCTTCCAAGCAGCCCGTGCTTCCTTCTGTAAAGCTTCCAGCCGTCGAGAACCCATCCGGAAAGTGTTTAATTAAAGTGATATTTATCCAAAGTATTATTTAAAAACACACACACAAAAAGCAAAAAAAAGCAGCCAGGCAAACTTCTCCTTCCTTCGTCTTCTCGACGCCACCCCTCCCAGTCCCGTGCACAAAAAGTCGTTAAAAAGGCTATAAGCACCGTCGCATCTTCAGGTGGCAACGGTCCCTCAGCGACCTGCAGCCTCCAAATCCGTGTATGAACCTGGCTGGCTTTCTGAATGAGCGAAAAAATGAATGAGCGGACGCGCGAATGCATGAATGAATGGGGAAAGCGGGGAAAGGATGAATGGGGCTGCGCTGGAGGCACGCGCGCGCGCTCACCCTCCCTCCTCCCCAACGTTCCAGCTTTACAACTCTGCCATGAATGGAGGCGCCAGTTCCGGCGAGCGCCTGCTGGAGGAGCTATGGCTACGTCGCCCGCTTCGGCGGCAGCTGGAATCCCCTCGTAGCGCACGTGTCCGGGGAGGGGGAGGCCAGGCGCCAACGCTAGATGTCACCTGGAGGCAACAGTGGTGGCGGCGCGGAGGGGGGGGGCTGCCGCTGTTTGGGGAGGGGGGCTGGCTATGTGGATGGCGGCTGCAGCTGCAGCAGCGGCGACGGGGCGGGCGATCCGCGCGGAGAGTAAAGGAGGAGGAGGAGGTGGAGGAGGAGGAGGAAGCGGGGGATGCTATAAAAGTAACTCGCCGTGGCACATGCACACTTGGGCGAAACTTCCCCGTCCGGGCAAAGAGGCGATGGCAGGAGCTCGGGAGAGGAGAGGATCGACGGCAGCAGCGACTGGCTGGCCGCTTGGCTTCGCGGCGGAGCCCGAGGGGGGGAAGGAGGCGCTTTAGCATCCTGCTGCCTCCCCTGTGCCCCCCCTCCAGGCAGCCCCTCTCTCATGCCGGCTACGGCACAGCCAAGGTGACGCTCCCTGCCAGCTGGCGGCGGGCGCCCCGTCCTGCCCCGCATCACACCTTCCCTCCCCAAACTTCGCAGCCCCCGGGACGTGCGCGGCTCCCTCCGGGCAGCATGCGAGGCAATGGGAGCGCGCTGAACGGCTCTTCCCCGCCGCGGGACGGGCTCACCTTGGACAGGCCCCCCTGGGTGGCTTCCACCTTGGCCGCCATCCTCATCTTCACCATCGTGGTAGATATCCTGGGCAACTTGCTGGTGATCCTGTCCGTGTACAGGAACAAGAAGCTGAGGAACGCGGGTGAGAATCGGGAGGCGAAGGCGGGGTGGCCAGGAGGAGGACAGAAGCCAGGAAAAAAGAGGGAAGGAAGGAAGGAAGACCAGGAGAATCGCCTCGGACGTGCCTACGAGCAGCAGTTGGGGAGGGGGCTGTGCTGGAGCGGAAAGGGGAGGGGGCAAAGCGGGCAAGAATGGCAAAGCCCTCCTTTCTTGATGTATGCTTTGGGGGGGGGGCGCGTTGATGCACGACCCCCCCCTTCCTTCGTTTGCTGTGATTGGAACGGCGAGTTTCTCCGGCGCGCCAGGAGGAGCCGTGCGTGCGCTTTGCTTGCCAGGCTCAATCGAATAGTGCGGGGCAGGCGGCGAGGGGCATTCTGGGAAAGCAGCGCTGTCGGGCAAAGGCAGAGAGCGAGCGAGAGCACGAAGCTATCCTTGCCGGGAGATTATATCAGAATGGGCGCGCGAATGTTGTGGGGGGAAACGAGATTGCCTTACCTCTTTTGCCCATCCTCCCGGCTCCTCCTTTCCTCGGCGATGCGCCTTAGAACTTTGACGCGGCTTTGCATCCCTTAAAGAGTGACCCCCGCTGCTCCCCGGTTCATTGCAAGGCAACAATTCCCGCTTGTGACAGATGCCGAAAGCGGTGCATGTGATGGTTTCACCTCAGATCAGTGATCAGGAGGCAGCGTGTATTTTTAGTGACAGCCACACAAAAAATAACACACCACAACCCCAGCTGCTATTTAAAGTTCCGGCTCAATATATGATCTAGCATAGGGCAAGACAAGAATTGTTTTTTCCCCAACGATGCCCGAGGTGGGGTGGGGAAAATACTTATGTTGTCCTTAGTGATGGAGTCTACGTTATTGTTTTTCTTTGGTAGATGCTTTTAAATAGATCTGCATTGAAAGTATTTGTGCAGAATGAAGGCGTGATGGTTGTGAGATAACTCTGCAAACTCGAGGAACGTAAAGCTGGTGCTGAGGTAAACTCAGTGGTGATAAGCTCATTTTGCCCTCTATCCACTTGTTATTTACTCCGTTTAACGACTGAAACCATCTGATAGCTACACAGATTTTAGGCGGGGGGGGGGGGCAGGAGAAGATCAGTGATGGTCTCTTGAACAAATCTGTCTTAGTTTATGGATTATTGGTTAGACAGACAGGGAAATTCTCCTTCAGAGTCATTCTGCTTTATCATGTCAGACCGGCTGGTGTGCACATATACTAAATCTATGCACTCAAGCCCGCTTTTAAACTTTCATTGAGGGAGGGGGGAAACAACCCACAGAGAGGCGAAACACGTGCAAGGATTTGCGTCAGCAGACCGAGCAGAAAATTTGCTTCCACATTTCTCCACCCACCTTTCCAATATTGCAAAGCACTGGTTTGTAGTCTTTAATGGAATGGCAGGATTTTGTTGGACGGTAGTACCCGGAGACCTTCCTTTGGGAGTGCTTGTGCTGTTTTTGAAATCTGGTAAGACAAGATAATTAGATCCTGAGGACAACTTTGCAAAGCTCTCCTATTTGCCTGAAGTTTTTGTGATTGCCATAGGGCGATTTTCAGGACTCTCTGGTCTTCTAGAATAATTCTAACTTAAATGGTTACTGAATGAGTTTGTGGGCACTTTTTGCCGTGAAAATAATAAAGGGTTTTATTTATAATCCCCCCCTGCACATATATGTTCTTTTAATTATGATATAGCCAGAATTTTGTTGGTTGAATAAAGGAGAATATATAAAGTTGGATTGAGACATAATCATGCTTAGATTTCTGTGAGTCTATTCTAATCATAACTAAGTCTGGATATAGTAACCCATAGCATTAAAAGTGTTGTCCCTTTGAGATCTGCTGGAGCTGTTCATTAAAGTTAGAGGATTTCTGCACTTGGAAGTTGATGTACATGAGGGATTATAAACATTGTGTTGTATTACATATATGAAATAAGAAACAACAACAAAAGTGTTTGCCTTTCTCAGCGTTTGAACATTAATTGTAGATTTCATTGGGGTTGCTGCATACATTACATTATTTTCTACATGGAAAACACTTCCATGTTGCAAATAACACATGAACCATGTATGGATTCTTATGTGGGACAATGCAGTCTGTGCATTCCACACTAAGTGTGTATATGCATATCGAGAAACCATGGTTGGCTGCAGCTTCTCAGGGCATGCAAACCGTATGTGAATGTGGGAAACATTAAACCTATGGGATCAATATGCATGGCAATTTATGTATACCTTGCACATTACTTCCTATATGAATGTTCTTTTATTCTAAGGCAGGTGACATATGAAATACTCTTGTATGAAATCGATGGGCACATACACAAATGGTGCACAGGGTTCAATCATTTGCTGCTTCTAATGTTTTGTTGAGTTTTTCTCTAAACTCACCAAATCAAGCTTCTCCTAAGTGGGAGGGCCATAAATGAGTGGTGGAGCTAGTCAAATTATCTGACGGATGAGCTCCCCTGATTGTGATTCAATAGAAGATCATAGTGGGCTTGATGGCCCAATGGCATGGCTCAGTTTATAGAATGATATTTAAGTATCATGGTTCCTTGGGTGTTCTTTCCTTGAACTGAAATAGTCTTGATTATGTTGTGGCAAGGAAGTTTGCCTCAACTTATAGAGAGCTCATCTGGACACAGGGTGGTTTGACCCAAGAGGTTAATTCCTGCTGCTTCCTGTAATGCAATTGCAAAAGTTGCAAGGGCTAGAATGTACAATAGTATTCTCTCCCTCATTTTCAAGTCAGGACCACTTCACACATTATGCTTTTCAAATTAAGATGATTTATATCTACATCTAACACAGGCATGTGTACTCTTTGGGAAACTCCTGTCTGGGAAATGTGATTGACTGCTGCTCTGTTAACTGCTTTTAGCCAGCAGATCGTATCAATCTTTTGCCTTTGACCCAGTGGGCAAGGCCACTCTGCCTAATGTGTGAACTAGCATCCTGGTGTGACACAGAGATTACAAGGGAAACTTGAGTGCTCTTGTGTGAAAATACCCATATATATTTGTTCTAATTAAATGCTGGAACCTGTGGGGTCAGGAGTGGGGTGTCATGGCTAGGAGATGGTCAATTGGACTTCAGGCTTTCCTAGAAAAAGCTACCACTGTTCAAGGAACAGCTCCCCCATTTTAAGAGACATGTTGCTCTCACCAATGACATTCACACGCATGTCTACTTGCTCGATAGCATCGTGTTTCTTTTTTCTTTTCTTTTGCAATATTGCAAACTACTAAAAATGTAATAGTACACAACTGTGAGATACAAAATTCTTGGGATCTTCAACCACAGTTTAGTAGGTCTTGGGAAAGTGACAACCATAATTAACTTAATAAGTAGAACAGGTCTGTCTTCCTCTGCTCTATATAGCAATTTTAACTTTTTATGTAAGTTCCAGTAAAATGACATTTAAAAGGCTTTCAATTAATTAAGCTTTCTGAAAGAATAAAGATGTTCCCTTTTATTAAGACACTTTTGGTTTGTAGATTATTGAAAAGAGGGAAGTATTTAAAAGCAAATATCCACCAAACGGCTTAGAATTTTTGATACAATCAAGTGGTATATACATTTTGTTAAATAAATAAGCTATTCTTACCATGTGGGAGATTTGCTGTCACATTCTGAAATATAGTATTAGGCTGTAACTGTTATAAACTCTGTGATTTTGAAGTCTTCAGTCACACATGTGCATATCTGTGCAACTTTACACACTATTAAAAGATAATACACACTATTAACAGGAAAGCAAGTTAGGATTACCAATGTTAGTGAAATTGCACACCAGCTGAAGAGTATATTATCATTTTGTGGGTGTATGAGCAAGGATTTTCATTTGGTTCTGTTGGTGCTACTTAATGCTTTGAATAATCATAATTTTATTATATACAACATACATCTATCCTTTTATTTTTATTTGCTAACAACAAGGAAAATGCAACTATTTGCAGAGTCAAAATGGAACTTTGTATATTAACCTGCCATTACTGTTGTGAAAAACCGGACATTGGCTGGACTGGCCCACATGGATCAGGTGAGGGAGGAACAGAAGATGCCTCTTGAAGAAAATGTAACTCAATGAAGATTGCTTTTGCTCCTCTGCCAAGGAAACACAGATTAAGACAACTTGGAGATGGTAGTGGTCAGTGGGGGATCCTTTTGTGTCTCTGTTGTTTCTATCTCATTGCAAAATGGTTGAAGAAAACGTCACAGTGGATATCTGGACTTCTTTTATTGACTTTGGATTAATAAAACAGAGAGACAGACAGGACTATGCACAGTAGAAAGGCCGTAAAAACACCTTGACAAGAATTGGTCTCTCCTGCCCGGCAGTCAGAACATTAGTAAGAGCCAAAATGTGCTCAAAACAGAGGAGTCAGTATTCCTAAGAAGCTATGTCCCAGCAAGCGAGGCGCCTCTTGATACAAAGAGCTCCTTCATAGTCACAGGCATGGCTTCAGTAGATGCTCTTCTAGACAAAGGAGCTGATGATGCTACTGGTAGGATCCTCTTTTATTTAATGTACTTGACTGTCAATAAGTTTCATCTGATCTCTTTTTGGATTTAACAGAACCCAGGAGAAATGTCCAGTCCCTTTTGCTTGCAAGTGCTCTCCACGCTGTAGTTGCTTACACTAGAACCCTGTTATTGATGTGTTCAGTGAGGTCTTGCATGTATGGGTTGCCCCCTTCATTTCAAATGGGGACAAGCAGATTTGCGCACGCGCATGTGCGTGCGCTCACACACAAGATCTGCTGCCTCCGTTTACATGTATGGGATAGAGGAAGGGTTTTGTGGGTACATGGGCTTCCAATTTGATCTGATTTACCAGGTTGAAGAACTCATTTCCCTCCCTCCATGTCTGCTGGATTGTAACCTTTCTAAAACTTGCAGAGGATACATAGAAGGCATAAGGATTTTGATGTGTGAACAAAAGTGAGCCTAGAGGTCTTCAATTGATTTACCATTATTGATCCATGGGTATCTGTGGTTAGCTT